TTTTTTTTTTTTTTTTTTTTTTTTTAATTCCACGTTCATGGAGAGATAGGAAGAGAGAAATACATCGCGTAGCTTTGCGTGAACCATTGAGTTGTATGTGACCCTCGTGGAAAATTTCTACCACACCGGTTGCGTTTCCCCCTGGGGGCTTTCTCTTTCCCCTGCTTCATCGTGAATGTCCTTCCCCCCTTCCGCGTGTACATGTCTTTTTCGTCTGCCCAAATGGTGCACATGTGATTTATAGCTCTTTGGCTGTTTACTCCGTTTCTTCAACTTTTTCATTTTTCCGACTTTGCACTGCTGCTTCTGCACCTCTCCAGTGATTGCTGGCCTCCTTTTTTTTTTCTGAGGACAGGCGAGAGGAGTGTACGTCGTTTTCGTGTTTGTCCATGCGGTGAGGAACACGCAGCTCTTTCTCAACATAAACGCACAGGTGTACATAACTGCATTTCCGATAGGGAAAGGGGGAGAGTACATCGGTTGCATTCAACCCACCTAGGCCAGACAAGCTTTCATTGCTGTTCGTGCGTGCTTTCATAACGGTAACGGGGGCAAGGATTCCCCAAATGAACTCTTTTAGCTTCCCCCATTTTTGCATGAAGACGTGGAGACACAGTGGAGCCCCGATTGGTGTGGTCCGTTTGAACGTATTAACATGTATGTAGGGGTAGAGGCCCGCCCAGCAGCGAAAAGGAGAAAGGGACCTTGGGCTTGTACGAGGCAGAAAGGACTCGTTTAGGACTTCGTAAAAACAGAGTAGGATATAAGACAAACCGACTAACGTTCCGCCGACATGCACGATGGAGGGCCACACGGAATACGAGTTCAAGGACAACCTGAACATAAATATAATCAGGACGAACGATGTGAAGAGGCGCTTCTACAGCTACACGGTAAGTTAGGGCATGGCGAAAGAGGTGTGTGGAGTCGCGCGTCGCCGCATGTTTGTCGTGCGCTCAGTCGACGCACTGCTCAACCCACCCATGACTCAACCGACTTATTGCATCCCGTTCACCGCTCAGGAGTACGTGCTCGAGTTCAAAGCGCTGAACAGCCAGAAGGTGTTGAAGAAAAGATTTTCAGATTTTGTGACTTTTTACGACCTACTAAAAAATGAACTGCTGGACAAGTTTAGCGAATATCTGGAGAAGGTGAGTCGCCGATCGGGGCTGCTTCCATGGCGGATAAAAGTTACCTGTGAAGAGGAGCTAGCACATGCTCTTCTGTAAGTGGTCAGCTAGTTATAATTTTTTTTTTTTTTTTTTTTTTTTTTTTTCCCCTTCAGATCTCCGTTTTGCCGTCAAAGCGGATGTTCGGGCGATTGAACTACAACTTTGTGGAGGAGTAAGGCTTTCACTTTTGCGCTGCTACATTTCTTCATCGCTTCACTTTTTCGCCACTGCATATGTTCACCGCTGCATATCGTCATCGCTTCCCTTTTTTATTGCTGCGCCCCGCCAGGAGGAGACATCAGCTGGAGCTGTTCCTGAAACGCATTTCCAGCCACAAGAACGTGTACCTGTGCGATCGGTTCTACGACTTTCTGTGCCTAGACAACACTACCAAGTGCCTGTTCAAGCTGATGTGCACGGAGATGACTGACCTGGTGAACCTTCAGAAGTTATTGAAGAAAATAAATTACATCTTGTTCTTATCCCGGAGCAACACGTTGAAGAGTGCGGAGTGCGACATTATAAACTTTTTGTTTCATCTGAAGAAAAATTTACAGCTGAACAATGAAATTAAGTTTTTCATCCTGAACATTTTTCTGCACCACCTGACCTACACCAAGACGCCTGAGAATTTGCTCAAGGTCCCCCTGATGAAGTTTGCCTTTGAGATCATATACGATAATTTGCGTGGTAGGTTTGGTGCTAAGCGGCTGTGTGGCGGCTGCGTCGCGGCTGAGTGGCGGCTTCAACGACAGTCGCAACGACCGTAGCAACGGTGTGTGCCGCTCCTCATTATATGCAACCGTGTTCACCCCCTACAGGCGAGAACATCAACGAGGTGCTGCTGAAGACCGCCTCAGAAACGATTCTGCGAATTGTGGACAAGAAAAACGACGTGTTTTTGGAGTACCTACAAATATACAACTTCAAAGAAATATTTTCCATTTTCAATATCCTGAGTAAAAGAAGAAAAAGAAAAAAGGAGAATAACAAAACAGAAAATATTTCCTTCAATGTGTACATATTAATGTCTCTCTTGCTCCTCTCTTCTATCCACTTAAACGCAATTCAAAATTATTTCTCTGTAAAAAATAAGTGTAATAAAGGAATAGTGATACTGGGTTATATGTACGAAAGTCAGAATATAAATATTCAAGTGATCTGTTGCATTATTTTATCTCTTTTAATTATGAATGAAAAAATAAATGATGAGGAGGTGGTACAGAAAACAAAAATGTCCATCTTGTTAATACAAAAAGAGATTCAGAATCTGAAGGATGTGGATTACCAGCTGATTGAAATTATTTGCAGCAAGAAGAATATGAGTTTGCTTAATAACATTTTGGTTACCCTTTTGAGGGGTAAAAGGGTTGTTCGCCAGATCGGCTTAGGAGGAGTAGCAGGAGGAGCAGCAGGAGGAGTAGGAGATGAAAATGAATTTTTTCGTGAAGCAGAGGATAGTGTTGGGGGTGGTGCTTCGTGCTCCCCTCGTGGTAGTTTTTCTATGGAGGGAAATCCTCTCGAGAAAGATCCCTTCTATGAGCAAAAGGTAAAGCATGCAGATTTTTCCAACAACGACATCATTTTGCAGTTTATCCTTTTCATTATTAACATTGGAGTTAGTGAGTTCTTCCTCCTGAAGAGAAATTACAAAGATAGGATGAAGTTGAAGCAGTTGCAGTTGAGGCAGAAGAAGCAACAGTTGAGGGAGGAGAGATTGCGTAGGAAGAGGGAGAAGAAGGAACGTGCTATGCTTATGTTGAAGGATGAAGGGAATATGGGTGCGCGTCGACTTCAAGGAGATAATGGTACTAAGGATGATGCAGAGGCGTCTTACCTGCGTGAGGAACAAAGGAAAGAGAATCAACGGGTTTACAACTACGACATTGAAAGTGTTGATGAGGACTGTGTGTACAAGAGGGAGTATGTTCCATATGATTATGCGTCTGGTAGAGAACCGTCGCCGATGAAAGGGAGGGGACGAAGAAGGGGTGGAGCAGGACTGCATGGAGGACTGCACGCGGGGAGAGATATTGGTCACCAGCGTGGAGGCACTGATGGGGGCAGTGACTTGGAAGGAGAGGACGATGAGCAATGGGGTGAAGAAGGAGATGTGGGTGAGGATGGAGATGAGGAGGAGGAGGATGGTGATACGGATTTGACAGACGGTACTGATGAAGATAGTGATGGGTCAGGTAGCAGCGCTGGCTCGGAAGACACGCTTCGTGGTGATGGGGACGACGCAGGACATGGGTTAGGGCGCGAGCACGCGCAGGTGAGAAGGGGACAAGGGGAGAAAGGGGAAGCGGAGGATACGGCTTCCACGGTGAGCTCCTGCATCTCGTCTTTGTATTCCTTTTCGAGCGATTGTACTAGTGGCGGCGAGAAGGAGGACACCGCGGGTGCGGAGAAGCACACAGGTGCAGAGAAGAGGGTGCCCCCAATCGACATTGACATGAGCCCTGTGAGGGACGTGACGTACGAGGACGATTTCAGCGTTGACTCGGGTAGCATAAAGGACGACATGGAGTACCTCGAGGGGGCAGAGCATAATAGTAGTAATAATAATAATAATAATAATATGAAAAAGAGTGCCGCACGAAGGAACAGAGGCGATAGTAGCGCGGGTACGAGAAAGGACAAGGAGGAGGCTGCCGCTGCATCTGAAAAGCCAGCGCAGGTAGAAGAAGGGAAGGTGGCAGAACCCGATGCGACGAAGGAATCAGATGCAATAGAAGCCATAAAGGAAGAGATAAGAGCACTTAGAGATGCCAGGAAAAAATATGGAAAAAGGATTAGAAGAATTAACGAGCAGATATTGCTTATCCTGTGTAATGAAAACATGGTGCAAAGTATATTTAAATGTGCTAACCTAGAGAATGAAAAAATTCGAATGTACGCTTGTTTGATTTTGTCCTACGTACCTAACATCAGTGAGGTGGTCGGTTGTACGTCCGTTACTCCAGGTGGTGGTGTGGGAGGTAGCAGTGGAGGCTACCTCAAGATGTGTTGTAGCGAGGATGGGCTGGGTGCAAGCACGAATAGTAGTTTCCGCATGGAGGGACCAGGAACATCCATTCCTCTGCCCGAGATGCAAATGGGAGAGTTTGCTCAGACGGAGAAGGGAATTGGAGACGACATTTGTGTGGTGGTAAATGAAAGCGTTATGTTAGAGAAGAAGAATAATAAGAATTTTGTTTGTAGCGTCGAGGGAGACTACTACAATTATATTTATAGGTTTGAAATTGTGAGCACTCTTCTGAGGTACCTGTTGAGCGACACGTCCTTTCATGATTACATTTTACAATATTTGAAGAAGTTCATTGAGGACCATAGGCACCTTGTCAATTTGAATCACTTTAAGATTAAGCAAACGGAACTGATCAACATGGTGTCCTTCATGGATATGCGGAGGAATGTTGGTGTAGGAGGGAGTGGTGAACATGGTAGCAGGAGGAAGAAGAAGCAGAGGAAGGGGCGAAGCAGAGGTGGAAAGGGTAGGGCAGGCAGAGATAGGAGTGATTGTGAGGGGGGAGATGTGAAGGATACGATGGTGAACAGTGGTGCATCCAAGATGGGATTGGGCAATGAGGGGGACAGGAGGACCCAAGCTGGTTCTTCAGCCGCATCGGGTGTAGCGGGTGGAGTCGGCGCAGCGGGTGTAGCGAGTCCAGCGGGTGCCGCTAGTTTAGGCGGAGGGGGGGCGCTAGTGCAGTACGAAACGAAGGAAGAGGAGAAGAAAAACAATTACCAATGTGTAGTGTATGAACCATCACAAATATATGACCACATGGATTACGTGTTCCGCTACGTGACGAATTTGAGGAAGCTGGGTTTGTTAAATAATTTAATCGTGGAAATGTACAATAATTTGAGGAAGAAGGTAAAGAAGGTGGAGTTACAATTCATATTCGACACGCTGAATAGGAAGGTCCAGCAGAGGGAACAGTTACGAAGAGACATATTCAGGTTGAAGGAAAAATACGAATTTGTAAATGTAACATATAATGAATATATTAACTTGCAGTACGAAACGAATAAACAAATGGGAGTGATGAACAAACTGCTCGAGGAGTTAGAAGAGATTGAAAAGAGAAGAAGGAAAAGTGTAAAAAATCACAAAGCTGTTCATACAAATGTATGTAATTACAGGAAAAAATTAATTCATATTGAAAAAATGATTGAGGAGAGTCCTTCTATAAAGAAATGTCTTCATGAAGAATTAAATAATATAAAAAGGAATGTAGCTTTATACAAAAAGGATAAAAAGAAAATATACTTGTTGATTCTTCTTAATAAGTTTTGCCTAGATGATTTCAACAGGGTTAATAGCAAATTAAAATGCCTGAACACTTCTGTTTCAAATTTGGAACTTCTTTTTAATGAGTATGAAAAGAATATAAATGTGATCGTGAGTGAGTTGAGTTACCTCATTTGTAATGACTTAATTTTACTGGAACTCTTAGGAGACTTGATTCACATCACCGTGAACAACGACAATTTGCCTCATTTGATTGCTCGTGCTAATTGTATAAATAGCTTCAACCAGAATGATTTTACTGAAAAAAAGCTGCTCATTGTGAATAGGGACAGGGGTGGACCTGCTGGGGAGAAGAGGAATATTCTTCACTTTACACAGTCTAGTGACTTGATGGGTGAGGAGGAAGAGTATGGCTACTACGACGCTCGTGATGGAAGGCGTGTGTCGGGGGTCGGGGCGACAATTGCCCACAGGCCTCACCACCATCCTCACCATGCGCATCACCACGCAGGAAGAAATGTGAATGGCATGAAGGCTAACTGCCTCAACAGCAGCGATAGTGACGTGGGGGGAGGGCGCGTGACGAATGCAAAGCGGGTAGAGAGAAGGAAGCAGGAGAATTTTTCACAACAGAACAGGGGTCGCGTTGTGGGTAGTGATGATGAAGACACTCTTTACCCTCATGAGGGAAGCGAATTGGATGGGTCGGCGAGCAGGAGGAGAGGTGGTGGTGTGCATGCGAGGGGTAATGCGCTGTATGAGGATGAGGACCACATGAGGGCGATGCGTTACGGGCAGGCGTCCGGGGGTAGAGGTGGGGACCGCGTTGACCGGGGCGAATTCTTATCGCTAGGAAGTAGCAGCCACCAGAGCGCGTCCCACCGGCTGCGGGCCGAAGGAACGAGGTACGAGGATGTAGGAAGACAGCAGCAGCTTCGCCGACAGGGACACCCAAGCAGGAGTGACCACCATACCTATGACGATGAGGAGGACGAGGGGGCAGATGGAGTCATGAGTGAGTTCCAGGACATGCACTCGATGAACACTCAGGATAGGAGGAACAATATCGGAGAGGACGATCAGAATAACGTTTATGAATGTGATGACCTGGCAGACACTGAATTTGTGTCGAGTGATGAAGAGGATGCAGAACTGAAGGAAAAGATTCACGAGTACAATACGTTTAAGAATAAAGAAGTGAAGGGGGTCCAGCCGGATCAAGTGAGTATCGACCGCCATGCCCTTACGAGAGAAGTGTTTGAACAAATGCTACAGGTTATAAAGGCCAGGAAGAGGGAGCTTGAAAAAATAATGTCCAGCGAGAACAACCAGGTGTATAAGAACATTCACAAGTTCAACTCGCTTTTGAACAAATGTAACACACAGATCGAGCTGCATAAGAAGCAGTATGGGCAGGTGACTCAACAGATCGCCTCCATCAACACGAGCTCCATGGTGAAGAAGTCGGAGTCCATTTACAAGGCCATTCGGGAGTAAGTCCTTTTTCGTGTGGTGTTCGGCACGTGGCGTTCGGCACGTAGCGTTCGGCACGTAGCGTCGCTATGTATGTTGCACCGCGTAACGTCACTATGTATGTTGCACCGCGTAACGTCACTATGTATGTTGCACGCCGTAACATTATTGTGTGTGTGTTGCCCCCCCCCCCCCCCCCGCAGATGGGACGACAAGATAAACCTGCTGAACGAGGAAGTGAAAGTTGTGGAAGGCGAGAAGAAGGAGAAGCAGAAGGAGATCGCTCTGCATAAAAAAAAGCTAGACAAAAAGGAGAAGGAGAAAAGCCAAAAGAAGGAAGAACTGCGACTGTTGGTGACCAACATGTATAAACACAATAATTATATAAAGAAAAGGTTCAAGCGGGAGCAGAAGGTTGTGCTGCTCGTACTCTACAACTCGTGGTTCATGTTCCATTACATATACATAATATACCTGAACACACTCAAATTAAAAAACTACCTCGCGTACAAGCACAGCATAAGTGAGGAGTGCCAGGCCTCTGCCAAGCAGACCATCAACAACATCAGCCAGTTCTCCGAGTTGCTCGACGAAAATGATTATTGAAGGGGAATACTTTAAAAAATTTTTTTTTATCTCCTAAAATGAGCGGTTCGGTGGGCCCCATGCCGAAGTCTCCATCCCCGATGAGGACACATGTCACGTGTCAGGTGTCACGCGTGACGTATCACGTATCACGTGTTAACCATTTTTTTTTTTTTTTTTTTTTTTTGTCCGTTGTGTAAAAACATATATGTGTAACGCGACTGTACGTATCATTTTGTGAAGAAACTGTATCGTACGGAGTTTGTGCTTTTTTTTTTTTTTTTTTTTTTTTTTTTTTTTTTTTTTTTTTTTAAAAAAAAAGTACAAACATTTAAAAGATAGTAGTAAAATATGCAGTTTATAGCTCAATCGGTGAAATGTCATATTTAGGGTTTGCTGTTTGCGGCCGTCGTTCAGTTATGTTAGTGCAAAATGGAAAGCGAGATTTTGCTTTGCTGCTCCTCTTCTCTGCTATATAGAACCGAACTGCGTCATTTTTTTTTTTTTTTTTTTTTTTTTTACAAGGTGTGATTATCGTGTCATGTTCCTGTTGAGTGCTTTCTGCTTTTTTCTCCCTTCCGATCGCTGACTTGGTTACCCACTTGGAGGAAACTCTCCTCGAGTGACCCATCGACCATTGCGCTGCTCTCCGTTTCGTACCTCTCTCTGTTGGGTGACTTATTCGTTAACAACGAGTTGCCGCCCCGCTTCCAGTTTGTGAGTCGCTTCCAACTTGGCACCCCCCCCATGGACATTTACCTCGTGACGGGCAACAAACACAAAAGACTGGAGTTCCAGCGCCACATGAATGGCGAGCTGGAGGTTCACTTCGCGGACGTTGATTGTACGTAGGGGGGGGTAGAGTGGTCTGTCCCCGATTAGGTTGAGGAGGGGCTCCTTCCATCACACGGAGACTGCGAACCCCTCCTCACCGAACAGTACAGCAGTGGAGCAGCACAGCAGTAATACAGCACACCAGTTAAACTGTTTAAGCACACGTTCTCTCCTGCCTCCGCTTCCTTCCCCCCCCCCCGCAGTGATTGAAATTCAGTCCAATGACATCGTGAAGATAAACGAGCACAAGGTCAAGTGTGCTCATGAGATTCTGAGCAAAGATACATCAGGGGAGAGTCAGGCGAGAAAGAAGCTAGTAATCACAGACGACACAGGACTCTACATGGAGTGTTTGGGTTCTTTCCCTGGCCCATACATGTACGGTGCGGAGTGGCGACAAGAGCTACCGCGCGTGCGCGTTGATTAGCGAAAAGGCAGTGCTTCTCCTGTCGCTAATGCTACTGCTGCTACTGCTCCTGCTGCGGCGTGACCCCCCAGTGTGAAAACAATGACCGCGCTGCTTTCCCCCCCTTCGCCCCTCTTCAGCAAGTGGATGCACAAGAGTGTAGGTTCGCAGGGAATTGTGGACGTGGCTACGAAGTTCCAGGTCAGTCCCCGCACCTGCGCGCGATCACACTTAAGTGAGGGTCTTTCACGTTGGCCCCCAAGTAGTAGTGTGGGTGCGTATAGGATTTGCCCAGGTGTGTGGCTTTCTCTCCTCCCCCCTCCGATTGACCCCTTTAAGCATTCATCGCTCACCGACCACCCCCCTCCACAGAATAACAAGTGTTATGCCATTTGCGTGTATTCCGTGTACGACGGGAAGGAAGTGTACTCCTTCGAGGGCGTCACTCAGGTAACGTCCTTCCCCTGGAGAGGTTTCTGTTCATCAACGAGCTGTCCTTAAGGAACCCAGCCGACTTTACTCCCCCCCCCCAGCAGTTGTCCATGCGATGAGAAAAAAAAAAAAAAAAAAAAAAAAAAAAAAAAATTACATGTTCTTTTTTTTTTTAAGGGAACGATTACCGGTCCCCGAGGGTCAACCGACTTTGGCTGGTAGGTTTACATACATGTAGAAATTTTTTTTTTGTCCCTCCGCTGGGTCATGGGCTCTTCGAACGTTTGGCGCGTTGCGTTGTTTCCTCTTCCCTTACACGACTTGCCCACTCACTCTACCTGCCTGACCCCTTCGCGTGGCACCCACAGGGACAATATTTTTTCCCCCGAGGGGTGTAGCAAAACGTTTAGCGAAATGTCCTTCGAGGACAAGCAGGAATCCTCCCCGCGTTTCAAGGCCTTCCTGCAGCTGAAGGTGGGTTGCTTCCTGACTGACAACGAAGTATTAGAGGAGCTGCACGTCCAGTCCACATGGCTCCTTTCACACCCTTCACTTCTTATTCGCCTTCCCTTATTGTTTGCCTGTCCCCCCGTTAGGCCTTCCTGCTGGAGCAATTGAGCAAGCAGAGCGCGTAACTGCCTCCTCCAGGATCAGCGTCTCTCCCCCTTAGGCGGCATTTGTGTATACAGTCTACGTGGAGACCACCAAAAAAAAAAAAAGAAAAAAAAAGCTGCACACCGCTGCATGGGTCTCTTCGTGAAAGTTAGAGACCTGTTATTGTATAATACCTTTTTAAGGCGCGGGACGTGATGTTCCTGACGGAGGACCAGGACCCCGAGGAGCTGAAGAAGGAGGCCAATGAGAAGTGGGCGACGGTAAGGTGCACGTTTGTTGTGGCTTTGCGTCTACCTGTGGCGGCGTGTGCATACGCGTACGCACACAAATGTATTTACGCGTACACATTGGCCCCCGTACCCCCCACACGCCAGGGCGAGGCGGAGGAGGCAGTCCTTCGAGGACAAGCAGGAATCCTCCCCGCGTTTCAAGGCCTTCCTGCAGCTGAAGGTGGGTTCCGGACTGACAACGAAGTATTAGAGGAGCTGCACGTCCAGTCCACATGGCTCCTTTCACACCCTTCACTTCTTATTCGCCTTCCCTTATTGTTTGCCTGTCCCCCCGTTAGGCCTTCCTCCCCCCCAGCAGTTGTCCATGCGATGAGAAAAAAAAAAAAAAAAAAAAAAAAAAAAAAAAATTACATGTTCTTTTTTTTTTTAAGGGAACGATTACCGGTCCCCGAGGGTCAACCGACTTTGGCTGGTAGGTTTACATACATGTAGAAATTTTTTTTTTGTCCCTCCGCTGGGTCATGGGCTCTTCGAACGTTTGGCGCGTTGCGTTGTTTCCTCTTCCCTTACACGACTTGCCCACTCACTCTACCTGCCTGACCCCTTCGCGTGGCACCCACAGGGACAATATTTTTTCCCCCGAGGGGTGTAGCAAAACGTTTAGCGAAATGTCCTTCGAGGACAAGCAGGAATCCTCCCCGCGTTTCAAGGCCTTCCTGCAGCTGAAGGTGGGTTCCGGACTGACAACGAAGTATTAGAGGAGCTGCACGTCCAGTCCACATGGCTCCTTTCACACCCTTCACTTCTTATTCGCCTTCCCTTATTGTTTGCCTGTCCCCCCGTTAGGCCTTCCTGCTGGAGCAATTGAGCAAGCAGAGCGCGTAACTGCCTCCTCCAGGATCAGCGTCTCTCCCCCTTAGGCGGCATTTGTGTATACAGTCTACGTGGAGACCACCAAAAAAAAAAAAAGAAAAAAAAAGCTGCACACCGCTGCATGGGTCTCTTCGTGAAAGTTAGAGACCTGTTATTGTATAATACCTTTTTAAGGCGCGGGACGTGATGTTCCTGACGGAGGACCAGGACCCCGAGGAGCTGAAGAAGGAGGCCAATGAGAAGTGGGCGACGGTAAGGTGCACGTTTGTTGTGGCTTTGCGTCTACCTGTGGCGGCGTGTGCATACGCGTACGCACACAAATGTATTTACGCGTACACATTGGCCCCCGTACCCCCCACACGCCAGGGCGAGGCGGAGGAGGCGAACGCCCTGTGGAGACAGGCCCTGAAGGAGTGCATCAAGTACTCCATGAGGGGATTCCCAACGAAGAAGAACACAGACATGCAACTGACCTTGCGCCTCAACCTATCCCTTTATCATTTTAAAAAAAAAGAATTCCATGAATGCATTAACCAATGCGATATCATTTTGGAGGGAGTGGCCGACCTGGACGGACTCCTCAATCGATACGAGGTGGAAGTTACGCAGTCGGAGGTGACACCCATGAATGGAATGGCGGCCCCCGCAACACTCCCAGCCCATACGGAGGAGACGGACGCATCCACAAGGGAGAAGAAAGAACAGGACACGTGCGTGCTCAGGAGAGATACACTGGTGAAGCTTTTTCTCCGCAGGGCCTACTCCTATCTGATGTTGCAGGTGAGTCTGCGTAGGGGTGACTGTTTCACCCTCTGTTAGGTAACACGTCTTTGTATAATGTCCACCCATCCTCATATAATACCTTTGTGCCCCTTCCCCCCCCCACTTGCTCATTTCTTACCATGACAGGAATTCGAAAAGTGCAGGGAAAACCTCCAGCTGGTAAAACGAATTGACCAGGGGAATGCCGAGTTGATGAATTTGGAACGGAAGGAACAAGTGGAGCGAGTCGATTATGCGAAAAGGCAAAAGCAGTTGTACAGGCGAATGTGCAACGCGAGTGGCGTGTTGCCTGAGTCTAAGGGGAAGGGATGAACAAGGAGAGGGGCACTTTTCTTCTCACGACGTTGATATGTTCCTCCTAGTGTACGTTTGCTTTTCTGTTGGACTTCCTCCTCATCCCACTGCACTGTTCAGAGGAGTGCAAAGAGGTCGCCTCGACCATTTTGACCATTTTTTCATGCTGCGTGGATACGTCTGTGCGGTGATATAACTAACCGAGCTGATCAAAATTGTCGTAAAAAAAAAAAAGGATGATTGGGGGAGGAAAAGAGTGACGCGCAACAATGCATAAATAAATTGCCGCATGTTTGATCTGACACCCTTTTTTAAGTGTGTCCCTCCTCTTAACCTTTCCAGCTATATCTCAAACTGGTATGTTTTCTTTCCTTTATTATTATTTTTTTTTTTTTTTCCCACTCTAAGTGAAAACTCCTTTTGGCTAGTTAAGCACGTTATCCAATTATGTATGAACATGTGCAGGTGAAATGCAAAAAAAAAAAAAAAAAAAAAAAAAAAAAGCTTTTTTGAATTTACCTCCGGGTGATGTAGAAACAATCTCGGGGAAGGGGTTGGAGTACAAACGAGATAGGGATGGAGAAAAAGAAAATGTTCGTCCTTCAACAGTCTACCTCAAGCGACTGGATGATGAAATTGTATCATCTGCACAGTTCCTCCAAAGGGAACAGCTCCCTCAGTGCTCGAGTGGGGAACCCTTTTACCCAACCCCCTTTTTTTATACATGACGTGAATGAATAGGAAAAACGCCAAAAAAAAAAAAAAAAAAAAAAAAAAAAATACTAAGTAACGCATAATTGGAAGGAAAATAAAAAAAAAAAAATAGTAATAATAACCACTATGAGGGAAACACCCCTCAACAAAGGAAAGTCAGCAGAAAAGAGAAGGGGGGAGACACCCCTTTTTTTTTTTTTTTTGTGAGAATTGTTGCAGAGGAAGGGATACTTTCGAATAGGAAATTCCAACTGTGCAGAGCCATCAAGGGGGAAGTAATTTCTTGAATTAATCCCCAAGGTATGATCCTTGTGGGGAAAGGAGAAAAAAAAAAAAAAATACCAAGGGCACATGTGCAGGCAGGATGAAACAGCAAGGGGGAAGCTTCAATGAAAATGATAAAGGCGAGATGGGGGCTGCGGTGGAAGTGGTAACGGCGTGGGAGAGGACGAAGGAAGAGATCGACCAAGCATCCCCCAGAAGAGAACAGCAACAGGTTAGAACGGTATCTCAAGAGGACTACTCGAATGATGAGCCCCCCTATTCAGTGATTACTCAACTGGCTTATCAACACGGAGGGCCAGTGACAACATTTTTAACCCCCCCGGATGAGGCAAGCACAGACTTCAACCCTTGGGTGAATGATTCACCATGTGGTATCACCAATAAGGGGCACGATGTTTCACGTGAGGGAGAAGGAATTGATGGTCCTTCTCCTTACTTGCTTCGCAGCTACGGAAGTGATGATGAGGCATGGAAGTCAACTCGAGAGAGTTCAGATGATGTGGGGGGGGTGCACCATGAAGGGGGTACATCCTCAAGCGACGAAGAAGTGACAAAGAGAAAAATGACTCTTCTTGGTGAGGTCGGCCTCAGTAATAACGCGTTTCTGCGTGGTGAGATGTGCCCAAGCAATGACGCATGCCTGCCTGGTGAAGACAGAGCAGGGGAGGAGGGGCCCAGGGGAGAGAGCCTCGACGAAAGAGAAAAAAGAATGGTTTACAAAAAGGCCGACGAAATAATAAACGGGGACTCTGGGGGGGGAGAGGACTGGCTGTTGAGCGAGTCGGAGGGGAACGAACCGCCAAGTGGGGAGGGGATGCAGCAGAGTGGGGTGCAGAGGCGCAGCTCATTGGATCGACGCGCGCTCAACCTAAGCGCAAAGGAGCTGCACGCATTTTTGAAACGGGACAAGTACCACCTGACGAAAATGAAGACGCGCATGAGGAATGTGGTGTACAGGTACTTGTACGAGCGCGCAAGGGGGAGAAGCCAGCCAGGTGAAAAGGAAACCATGAGTCGTGAAGCATCGAGCATGGCGCGCATACACACGTTGGAGGCAGAGACGACAGACGTGGCGTCCTCCTCAGAGGACATGGCAAATCTTCTATACACGGAGTGCACCATACGAAAGACAAAAATCGCTCAGTTAAGGAGTGTAAGTAAGCTTGTTTGTGACAGGAGGAATGAAAAGTGCATGCGTATTGTGAGCTACAAGAATGTTTACCTGTTTGATGCATGCGGTTGTTGTTCTGACGACGGTTCTACTGGTGACGTGGGTGACGTTGGTGAAGTGGCGGGCGGGGTATGTAATGTACCGCCCCGTAAGAGGGAAGTCATTCCACAGAGGCCTCTCCCCACCTACCGATTCACCTGCAACAACCACTTCGTATGTCTTCAAAGAAAAGATAATGAGGTGCACGTGTTCAGTCACAGGGTGCTAAGTCTAAATGAGTCCATTTTTTTTAAAAACAAGGAGAGCAAGACGACGAACGAAGAAGAATTGAAAAAGTTCCTCAACGACTTAACATGCAGTGGGGTTGAAACAAATTGTAAAAGGGTGAAGCTGAACTGGGAAGCATATCCCTTTTACATCATTAGGGATTCCTCATGGAACAAAATAAAGAGTATCCACCTGAACGCGTCGAATCATTTGTGTGTATGCACAGAGACAGGTTCTTTTGTGTATCAATTATATTTTACAAATGGAACGATTCAAATAAAGTTCAGTGGAAGTCATTTGTATCGTAGTGTGTCTGTGCAGAAGGAGAATGAAGTGTTGGAGGCGTACCTGAGTAGTGAGAAGAAGATGGTCCATGTGAGTCATTATGCCCTTTTTTTACTTCAACGAAATAGCAAATTTTTTAAGGGTGACTTGTTTACTCTCATTAAGCATATAAAATGTCGACAGCGAATTTTAAGTGTATCGTTTTGTGGTGACTGGATCATCCTCTCCTTCCACAATAGAGTGTCTGTTCATTATAAGGTCAGTGGGAAGGTGCACTTCATTGTGCAGATTAACTCACAGGGAGATGTCGTTGGTGCAGAGGTTAGGCAAGAAGCGGTTCAAGTGCACAGCCCACGTGTTAGCGAGGCAACCAAGCGGGGTATTCCTGAGCCAACCCATCACATACCTCTTTTGTGTCCCCTCCAAGGGGATAACCTTTTTTGTTTATCGTATGGAAGGAAGATAAGTATATTAGAATACTCCAATGGGGTTATTCTGCGGAAGCAGTTTCAATTGAATCACTCGGTGCAATTTTTAAAAGTCGTGCGAAATAACATGTTGGTTACTTACGGAGAGAAGGAGTTACATGTATTTCAGCTGGTGTGTGTGAAGAAGGAGTTTTCTCTTTTGTTTTTTTTTAACAAAGCGGTTAGTAATGCTAAGTGTTCGAAGATACATGAGGAGGGAAAGACGTTCGAAAGTTATGCGGAAGCCATAAAGGTGAAGGTCAAGCTGATTAAGATTAACAGGGACGACCAAGTCGCGAGGCGAATTTTTTATGCACTGAATGGGGATGGCACGAAGGGGACTGACGCCACTTCCGAGGGCGGTGCCCACTTCTACGTTAACCTCCTTTACATTTACATTTTGAACGGCGATCGAGTTGACCTCGTGGTGGTGAATTCGCTGGTGTATTTGATTTACTTGCTTTTCAGCCACCACAGGTATGGCCTGCTCCTGGCCCTGATGCTGCACTTGTACGAGGTAAGTGTGTGGGGAGGTGACTTCCAACCGCTGCTCATCACTGCCCCCCGCTTCGTATCACGTCTCATCACTTCTTATCACTTCTTATCACTTCTTATCTCTTCTTATCACTTCTTATCACTTCTTATCACTTCTTAACGCAGGGAAACTGCTGCACGTTGACGGACTTCCCCTTGGACGAGGAGGACAGGAGGGAGAAGCTGAAGCCACTCTTCTACTTCCTCTTCGAAGCAAGAATGAACGACATAATAAAAAATGGAAACCGGTTTGGCAGGGATCCACGCAACAGCATCTACCATGTGCAGGTGGAAGGGGGACAGTGTGATAAGGAGGGAGAAGGGAGAATAAAGAATGCTTCAAACGAATTGAACAATGTGTGTAGCCGCACGCCCAGCCACACTTCCAACCACACATTAGAGAGTGTAAATAAAATCGGGTCCTCCTCCGAGTCTTCCACTTCAGCATCAGTGGACCAAGCCATTTCTGCTTCTACCCCTGTTGCATTAAATGATAAAGTGTTAATCGGTGAGGGAGAAGTCGTGACGGAGTGGCCCTCACTTCCCTCCCCTCAAGTAACAACTCCTCATGGAAGAGGTACCACTCAGGAGGAAGGGCAGCCCAAAGGAGGACAGCTTGTTTTGAATGGAAGAATGGTCTCACATAGTTGTATTAAGGAACTTCAAAAGTTATGTCTCCTGGGCATTGAAATTAGTATAAAATTTAATACGAATCTTCATGAATGCATATTTGAGTTACTTCGTAAATTCGGTGCAGAGAATTTGTATTTTCACCTCATTGAAGATTACATTTTGAGGAAGAGGATTGGCATCACTCACCACTCTCTTGTGTATAGTTTGACTGAACACTTCAAGCGCTTGTACAGGATGTTCTCGGAGTGCGACGACTCCTGTTACGATTTGTTTTTATTCTTTTGCGGCCTCGTTGGGGGGGCGTTCCGATCGGAGCGGCTAAATGATCGGCTAAATGAGCGACGCTTGAGCGAGGTTGTATTTTCTCCTGTGGAAAACGGCGCTGACAGTAACGACGACATTGTTGACCGCTGCTACGATGACGGCTGCGCGGACCTGGACGTGCACCTGTACCGCCACCACCTAGCCGCGCAGAACATCTGGGCGAAGATCCGGATCGTTTATGCCTTTGTGTGCACAGTAGAAATGTACTCCCGCCTGTTCGAAGGAATAATTCTTGAAGGGGGGGACATGGAAAGCATCATCTCACATCTCCCAATTCATCTTAGTGCCTTCATTTATAACAAACACAATGAAGACCGAATCACCACAGCAGAGTTTTTCATTTCTTACCTGATTAGAAAAAAAAACAAACTTTTTTATAGCTACTGTCGATGCAATAACTTGAAGAGTGACGAGCTGCCCATTTACCTGCCCATGTACATGTACAAAAATTTTTACCATTCTTATGTCTTCGTCGATTATGTCTTCTCCATTATGTTTAAGATTCCCTTCAGCATCAGCTTGAATCGATTTTCATTACCGTTAGAGGAGGGCATCACTCTGAAGAGTTGCTACTCAGACGTGGATGCAAGTTACCAGTTCGATGATTCTTCAAATTACAAAAATGTATTTTTTATATTTTCTCCTTTTCGTGTGGAGAGAGAGAATCACTGTACCTTGAACAGAACCATATTGTCTCTTTGGCGGTACCTTCTAGATGGGACCAACTCTTGTGTGGGCAAGTATCTCCCCATGCGTGTTGCAAGTGGTTGTGATAAGGGCACTTTTCTGGAGTTTCTGTCCTGTCAGGGGGATGCAAGGTTACAGGAAGACATGACCTGTGCAGGAAAAAACGACCAACACAAAATAAACCTAAATGATTATTCTAATTTGGACAAAAATGGAATGTTCTTACTTCTGCAGTTATCATTGAAGGATACCTTTTATATATTAAATCGGAGTTTTTTCCAATACAACTTTGCTGAGAATTATAACATTGTTAATCTTTTGATTCGTAATTTGTGTATTTTTTACCTGCACATGGTCATAACTTTTCTCTTTTACGTCATATACTTGAAGAAGATTTTGAGGCATAATTTGTCAGAGGAGACATGTGTACAGATTTATAAAGAAGTGATAACAGCTGTTAACAGTTGCAAAGATTATGATCAAGTTAATGATGTGTGTTTGAGGTTGGTTCATGTGATTGAAAAAGAGAGACATACCCATGTTCAGAAAAATTTTCCCCGCATGGTCAGGTGGATTACGTTACAACTTTTTTATATAAAGAGACATAGGAAGGAAATGGCCAATTCAATAACGTACTTGTTGATTTTGTTTTTCATTCTTCAGAGTGATTGTAATGTGTACTCATTCGATTATCTCTTGGGTGTTTATTTTGTGAATTTTTTGCTCCGATTATCATGTGGGGGGGGCAGGAAGGAGGGTTTGACCAGCTCATGGATGGGAAGACGCCGGTTTGGGAAATTTATGAAAAGGTGTTTGAACTTTTCGAATAAAAATTATTTGAACAAGATTAGACCACACGTGAAGGAACAAGACTTCCTTCGAACCTTTCACTTGAAGGAGATCAACTTACGTGTAAAGAAGAGCCAGATCAAGAAGAACGTTGAAGGGACATCCTCTCCTCAGGACAACTTAGTGAATTACTTGTTGAGGGCGGCGTACAACGTCGATGTGTCTGACCTGCTTCGCCAGCATGGCGGTGATGAATATCTTTACCAGGATGGGCGTGATGAGCGTACTGGGGTGAGTGACGAAGGGGAGGCGGTGCAAGTGACACGTGATGAGGGGTGCGCGTTTAAGAGGGTGGGTTCGGGGAGATCCCTTGGGGGAACTCCATCCGGGGGAGTGCCCACTCGGGAGGGGAAGACACGAAAGGCGGAGAAGACGGGGGACATTTTCCGTTTGAAGTTTTGCAGGATGCACTACGGGTATATCTTACTGCTATACGTAAAGAGGTTGTTGGTGTTGCACCGGGGGGGGCGGTCCCCTGGGGGGGAGAAGCGCGACAAGAGCAATCCCTCACATGCTCCTCCAACCAGCGGTCATGCACAAATTTGCACAGAGATAGGTCAGCGTGGAAGGCTCAGGAGGAACGTAGATAAACTGCTCAAGTACATCCTCCTCTTCAGTCACGTGCGAAAGTGCGAGCAGGTCTACCTGGTCATACTTAACCACTTCGGTCGCTATGACGTTGTCTTGAACCACTACAGAGCGAGAAGGGAATGGAGGAACATGCAGGCCTATATTTTTGTACACATATTTTTTTTTTTTAAAGAAAGGAATGTAAAGAGGAGGTTGCGTGGGTACTTGTTCTATGCCGATGTGTTACAACACATGGACATGATGAGCGATGTGTTTGTGAATTACATCTTGGGGACCTATTTCGTTTTTCATAACAGCACGGTGAAGCTGCTCCGGGGGGGACAAGGCGATATGCAGGACTGCGTGAGAAGTGTCGTCCCCCCCACCGCTACCAAGAAGGGAGACCTGAAAAAGAAAAGCCCATGGGGGAAGACACACATACTTAGCCTATGTAAGGTATTCACCACGACGCTGATTAAATGTCGCAACCTCTCCGATGTGGCCAAGCGGAGAGTGTATTACCTGCTTCTATACGAAGCTCGTATGCCGAGCAGGATTCAGAGGTACCTCCACAAGAAAATCTTTTATGCCTACCTAACCCTGCTGTGTAAATACAAAAAGGATCATGTGTACAGGTGTGTCAAGTATGTTAATGTATACAAATACAAGGAGCTATTTGAGCGCCATGAAAATGTGAATGTCCTACTCCATCTCCACGAGCGTCAGGGCAACTTCCTCACCATCATCGACCTGTGTCTTAAGTTGATCAAGCAGAATATTTTAAAATTGAAAAATGCTTTTTCTAAACAGAAGGATTGGCATGTGCCGGAGGACGTCACATACGGGGATGTTTACTCGGTTAGGTTTTGCACCCGAGTCGATATTTATAATTTGTGTTCCATGCCCTTGAAGAGGAGCGTCCGCAGGATATTCTTCCAGGGGGCGGCCAGCCAAGGTGATCATCGTGATCGTCCTGATCGCCCGCATGCGCAGCAGCAGGAGGAGGAAGCGGAGGAGGGGGCAGGGGGCAGTGTCACCGAGAGGGACTCATTATTGGGTAGGCTTCTTAACCCACTGCACAGCTCCGCGGAGAGGCGTGCGTGGGAGAGCTACTTCGTGAAGACGCCTCGCTGGGGGGGCAGCAAGCCGAAGCGAAACCTGCTGAAGGGGGAGGCAAGTGGGAAGACGAACCAGACCGGTACAGTAGGAAAGTGGAAGCAAGCGAATCTAGCCAAGGCGTGTCGCATCTTTCTCACGCGTGAATACAATGCGGTGTTCCTCTACATATACATGCTGACCTTTGTCCTGCGAAGGAACAAGCTACAGAGCGACCGGATCAACGAGTACGTTTTGTTTTTCATTGTTGACGAATGTGTGAGGGGCTTCATCGGGGTATGTGAGGACCTGGGATGCGGTGCCCAGGGGCAGCGTGGTGAGCGGTGCCTCGTTGTAGAAGAGAAGGAAGATTGTGAAGGCACGGAAATGAGAAACGAAGACGCACCCCCCACAGACGCGATTGCATTCTTTAGCTACCTGTTTGACCAAATAATCTTCTTCGTTATAAATATAAATTCTCACCGACGTGTTCAGAGGGTCTGCAAGCAGCTCCTTTCCAAGTACAGAACATTTCAAGTGAAGCTCGTGAGACCTCCCCTCATTGGACTTTTAAAAAGCATGACCGAGACCTACTCCCTCCTTAATAATAATTGTCACACGGCGGAGAAGAGGATAAAGAAACAAATAGAGTCGTATACGCTTGAGCGAAGGAAGGGGCTCGTGGTAGACTTGCATGTGGACCACACGCATCCCTTCAACACCAAGTTGTGCTCCCACAGCAAGCAGGGGAAGGCGGCGGCGCGCCAGCAGCGGCACGGTCAACAGGCTAATCAGCAACCCACTCAACAGCCAGCGCAGCAAGCCGTGCAAGCCGTGCAACCCGTGCAACCGAGTCAGCCGGCTCAGCAAGAACAGACGGAACTGCTTCCTCCCGAGATGTGCACAGATGGCGCCCCCCTTGGTGACGCCCTGTGGCTGAGCAAGTGCGAACACGACCACCACTTCTCCTGTTCGAAGAGGTGCCACCTGTGCGGCGCGAGCGAGGAGCAGTCCCGCAAGTCGCTCGGGTAGAGCGGCCACACGGGCAGCAGCGAGCGTGCAGACGGAGAAGCGGACGCACCGGTTGTTAACTTTGCTTGCGCTGCCCATTTTTTTTGTTTTTTAATTTTGCCTTTTTTGTGCGCCCACAAAAAAACCTAGTATCGTGTGTGGCAACATGTCCCTCCTACCTCAAGACGCCGTCACGTGTGCACGTCCTGTGACCCGTTGCCCGCAATGGCTTTGAAAATGCATCCCTTGTCTGGTCTCCCGTTCAGATCAAATAAGATCCTGTGTGAGATTTTCCATCGGGTTGGCCCACCACTGCGTGAGCATGCAGCGTTGTACACTAATGGTGTGTTCAATTGAAAAGGAGCGTGGGGAGATCATCTCCTCTTTTGTGTCCCCTCCACACCCATTGCAGACTGCCTATTGGGTCACGACACAGGCTGCAGCTGGGAAAAAAAAAAAAAAAAAAAAAAAAAAAAAAAAAATCCCACCATCTGACGAATCTATCACTTAAAAAAATGTGTCCCTTAAAAAGGTGCGCCGCGTTTAGTACTAAGTTTTTTTTTTTGTTTTTCCCCTACACCCCTAAATTATTGTACGTTTTGATCGTGAGCGTCGAAACCATGTGACGTTTCCTCAAAGAAGGAATTTTTAAACACGTGGGCCGAACGAAGAGGTGTGTATTTGGGTAGTCGTGGTGTATGCCACCCTTTGTGCGATTTGGGGAGGCTACATATTGCATAACTAATGAGCGTGGGGGGTTAGTGAAAATGGCTCGCTCGATTTGGTTATATGGAGGGGAAGCTACATTTTTTTTTTTTTTTTTTTTTTTTTTTTCACTTTTGGCGGGAACAGTCCCTTGTGGGGGGTGTTGGGTTTGGGTTGTCATTTGTCCCGGTTTTGTGCATCGCTTCTCGCTGTGCATTTGCAGTTGT